ATCCCTTTGTCTGTTTAAAATGCATAGTCGTTTTTTATCTTATATAACAATGTCAAAAAGTGTCATATTGTGATTCTTGTCTTGATGTAGCACTGACATTTGTTTGTTTAATTGCCAAATTTGGAAACTGCCTATCTCATTTTCAGAGTAACTCTGCACAATTAAAATGTAAAACATAAAAATAAATATTATATTAGGAGGCAATTAAAACAAGAATAAAATTGTTCCTCATCTTGACAGCTGACACTTCTGGACGTTACAAAATCACATTTCATGGGTATGCCAGAGAATAGAGTAGAGTAGAGTAGAGTAGAGTAGAATAGAGTAGAATAGAGTAGAGTAGAGTAGAGTAGAGTAGAGTAGAATAGAATAGAATAGAATAACTTTATTAGCCAAGTGTGATTGGACACAAAGGAATTTGTTTCTGGTGCATAAACCCTCACTGTACATGCAAACAGAAAATATAATCATAAGATATCAATAGGATGTGGTAGAAAAGATGAGAAGTTTAATAGTATTTACACAATTTAAGGTTTTGTCATGTTGCAGTTCATCTGCAAAGGCAATCATGAAATCAACTTGGGTTGGTTCTCTTTAGGAAAGATTCCTATATAAATATTCACGATCCCTTCTGGGATCAGCAATACAATCCAAAATTGGCCTGGCCAACAACAACAATAAAAAAAAGTATAATGGCAAGTAGAGAATGAAGGATGAATATATGTTAAATTGACTTGAAATTTATCATTGTTTCTTTATGAATTTGCAATAGTGCTTGTGTTAAGTATTTCCAATCTATTTTTTGATGTTTCAAAAAGCTTCTACTCATACATAATTCTGGCAAGTGCTTGTTTCACATTCTCCGAACACTGGCTGACAGGAACTGGTTAATTGTGTAAAGCACTAGATAAGGGCTGTGCATCCTGCATTTGGTGGAGATACTTTCCTGTTGGGACAGGGTATTTCCTGCCAGTCAAATTAGGGCCGATTGGCTGAAGTTTAGTTACTATGTTCAGCAAGGCAGGTCCACCCATTCCCCCATTCAACAACTTTTCCCCCTGGTGACATAAAGTCTACGAAAGCCAGAGCTTGAGAACTAAGGGAGGGAACAGTCACTTACTGATAAAGTCTCTCGGTTGCCTGCGTAATGCAGAACTAGAGAAATTTCTGAGCAACTATGAGACTTGAGAAACTTCTGTTTAAAGTTGGCTCCTGGACTAAAAACGTCACTGCTGATTGGGGCAGGTTCCAAGAAATGATAGGCATGTGCAAACCTTCCTGGATTTTTTTGAATCAGCAACACATTGCAGCTGAGTATTTTGTCCAGAAGTAAACAGCTGGAAACTGTTCAGAAGCAGAAGGGGAGAGGCTGGGTTGGTCCAAGGTAATTCATTACTTGAGAAAAAACAATTCCTCTTCCCCTCAAGGAGAATATAAATCCAATCAAATATTTCTGGCAATTGAGTCAATTCCTCCCTTCCTTGATTAACTATCACAGCGAATTCAAGCACATATAATTCGTTTCTCTTTCAAACTACTCAGATGAAATGCCATACAGTAATTTTAAGACTACTCCTGGGTGTGGCTCTAAAATCCCAGAGAGTTGCCGCTAGCAAGCTAATGTAAGAAAGAGATGGTATAGAGGACAGAATATATTTTTAACCAATCAAAATCATGGTAATAGTTTTAATCCTGCCTTCTTTGCATGGGATCTGCATGGGAACACTATAGGTCCACATAGTAAGAGCTGTTGGTAAACAATGAGAGGATTGTGATGTGGTCTTTGGATGAAGCAAGATAGAACTGAAGTTCCTTCTTAGGATGTGTGTCCATGTTGAGTGCCTTCCAAAGTGGGTCTTCTCAGCTCTCTCCTAGATAGGGTTAATTTATTCATCCCCCATCATTAATGGAAAAGGCAGGCCCTCCACCTCAAATTTTCATGACTGCTACTACGATATGCCATAGACAGCAGCTGGAGTAAGGGAGATAGAAGGCCTCTCATTTACTGGCACAGGCCAAAGAATAACAGTGATATCCCAGCCTTTAATCCTGTTGCTGTGACAACTTAGATCCCGACAAGGAGAGGGGTGTGGGCCAACCAGGATCAGATGGCACTGACGCTGGGGATGTGCCTCAGCAGGGCTTGGCGTGGTGCCATCAAGCTTTACTTGGGCTGGACATTCTTGACATAGCTCTGACTCAACTAGGAACCACTGATTCCTGGCAGAGCTGGGACAATAGGCCAGAGGGCCAGGCGGGGGCATGGCCAGGAACCTGTGCAGTCCTCCTTATCTTTCCATTTATTCTGCTAATGGAAGATGCAAGATTAGAATGATCACAGTCATTCCACAAATGCAGAGACAAAAGTCTGGATTAATCACAGGCTTATTTGCAACTGGGCTTTGTTTTGCTGGAGCAGGACCTATATTTCTCTTTGGATAGTCCCCCTTTTTACTCCTTGTGGCTTCTGTATATTTTTAACTGCTGCATATCAAGCAAAAATTCCATGGGTGCAGTTATCTCTGGCACAGAGAGTCAATGTGAAGATAGCACCTATCAGGTGATTTTCTGACTCTCGTTCACTATTTAAAGGCAAAATAGCCTTCACTGAAATAGAGGTGATGATATTATGGCCTTTGCCAACACCAAAGCAAAACATGATGCACTTTGAACTGACTTATTTTATCTGTGTTATGTTTTTGGGATGCCTTCTCTTTTCCCAGCCTGATGGCCCAGCTTTATTAGTGGAGGACTGGAATAGTCCAAACGCTTCTTTGACTCTTTTCCTCCAGCCCAAAGAACATATTCCACGTTATGAAGGAATAATTGATAACCCCTGAACTGTGTATCCAGATTTTTTTTTTGCACCCAGCTTTCATTGCTTGTGAAGTCTACGCCTATCCATTGATTCATGCAAATGCCATCCATTTTTGTTTTCTCCTCCATTATTCTCGAAAAACTAATTCAGCTGGAAAAAGTTCTGTTTTGCTTCTCCAGGGAATCCAGAAAAAGTCCACCAAATTGTTTTTATATGGTCACATAAATGAAGTAATGTGAAATACTAATCTTTAAGTGCCTTATATCTCTGACCTGGGATAGGCACATGCCTCATCTCTGTATGCATGCATGCATGTATGTATGTACAATGTATGTGTATATGCATGTATATATATGTATATATTTATAACACACGTGCAGATTGGTGGGGTGTGAAGAATGAGAATTGGGACCATTATAACAGGACTGGAGTAGAAAGCTTTGGTCTGGCCAAATGATTAAAGGTCTTATTGCTGTATCTAAGTATACTAAGTATCTCTACACACCAGTAGCCATTTCATAAAATAAATAGAAAAGTTACATGCTTAAACATACAACTGTGTGTTACTTTAAAAAAAGGAAAAGAAAAAAGAAACAGCAAGCTGATGGAAAAGACAGGTATGAGCTTGGGAAGTGGTACCAGTGAAGGAAAAAGGCGAATATAGAGATAGACCTAAGCTGAAGGGTACTGTAGAAAAAAAGAATATTATTTAGGGGGGATAATTTGTGGGCAAAAAAATATTCACACTTGTGAAACCAGGGTTGACTCAGTTTTAGGTAAAGTATACATCAGGCAGTTGAAGATATACATGGGGGGGGGGGAATTAGAATCCTTCTAAATGGGTCCATCACAAGATACCTCCTCCACTCCCCATTTTGTTAGCAAACGTTGAAGTGATAAGGAAACAGCTGTCTGCAAACACATGGAGGTAGCTGACATGCAGACAGCACGTTCTCCACCAGAACTTTCCACTGCCCTTGAGAAGCTCCCAAAGCTAAACAAGCTATCTTATCATACCTCTCAGTGGTCTGATTGTGATATGATGGGAACTGGAGTTAATTGCAGGAAGCCTTACTGAAAAGTTTGCATATCAAGGGATGTGTTTTACACATTGCTTATTTCTGGGAAACATGGATTTGCTTATGTCAGGGATGTTGCCCTGGGCCTCCTTAAATTGTTATTCCATCACAATTACTTCTAACCCTTAATTATGCTAATGAGCAGGGCTATTGAGACTTGGGAAGTCAACATGTCTGGAAAGCCACTAGCTTTTGATGCCTTGCTATAATTACAACAATAGCCAAGAATCTGAATGATCCTTATTCAATTGTTTCCTCTTTCAGTACAATTCCCTAGGTTGATTTCATCTAGCCAAAGCTCTTTGGTATTGCTTCATTTGGGAGAAATGTGTTATCTAACATAACATCTTATAGCAATGGCCATTTAGCTCAGGAATGTCTACTCTGGCTGGCTGGAGTAGTCCAGAATTCAGGTACAGATCTTCCATACCTTTGCTAATCCTTAGGTGCCATGGACGGAATTTGAGAGAGTCTGCGCGTAAAGCATCTGCCGTTCCAGGGACTTATCCCCCCCCCCCCAGTATTTTATTTTATTGCTTCTGGGTTTAGCTCTGTGGTTGTGATTTGGGAATGCAAAGAATGGCATGATGGCAGCTTTTGCTTGCCTTCAAATACTTGCATAATCCACAAAACAAACAGGGCAAATGTTATTTTCATCATTACTTGTATTTCAAAGTCCTATGGCCACTGCACTAGTGATATCCTTTATGTGTCCCCGTGGCATTTCAGAAATACACACAGAAGACTTCCTTCCTCCCAGGCAAAAGGCTGGAAGTAGTTATTACTTAAGTGCATTCCACACAGAATCAATTAATTCTGAGTGTGCAATGAATCTCAGTGGCTAAGGTGGTGATAAAAAGCAGTGCTCATTGATAAGGAGTCAATGCCTTTCTAGAGTTTCTTTTTCTTTAAAAAAAAAAAGCAGTGATGTGTAGATGCGCATTTACTACAACTGAAACTAAGGATAGGAAAACAGCCTTAACTTTTGACTGCAGTCTTTCTTGCTTTCTATTATGAAAAGATTACTGGAATGGGGGATCTAGGATATAGATAGCATTGGAGGTAAGACAGGGAGGGAGGAAGAAGAGAAGTGAGTCAAACCATTACTTTAAAAAATAGTGCTTTTTATTATAAATTATTGAATGCTGTCTTTAAAGTCCCTTGAATATAAATATAAATAGATGTGCAAAGTTTTCTTCCAAGTTTAAATTTTTGGGTGGAGTCTTCAAGCATGTCTAACAGCCTTCAAGGCTGAAGGGTGGAATCTTTATAAAAGACAGAACAATTTTTTCTTAGGCAGGTCTGTAAACATTTCTTTCTGTAAAAACAAAACCTTATCTGCCCTTCTAAAACCCTGATATGCAAAAATAAGATGAAACCACAAAATTTTGGTTACAGTTTTTTACAAAAAAAAAAAAGTTAAATTAAGGAGTTCCAGGTAATTCTCTTGTTGCTACATTCTTGTACGGTTTTCAGTTACTCAGTGCAATCGAGGACCCAAACAAATCCACAACCTCTGTTATAGATGTAATGCCATTTTTTGATGAGCTAAAACTCCAAAAAGGAAGGCAAGAAATTAGCAGCCTGAGCAGAAGTCAAGGTAAAATAAACACTCAGGAGAAACACCGGCTCATGTAACATTCAGTTTGGTGTTCCAAAAAGCAATAAAGACATTTCAGAGGGTTATGTCCCTTGCCTGCATGATGGCCCAGAGAATGAATGGTGTTTTCTTGACGGTATTTCATTAATAGTCTATGGAGGATGTGGATTTCTTCTTAAGGCTTAGTCCCATGAATAAAATGTTGTGGCAACAACCTCCAAGGAAGAGACTTGGGTTGAAAGGAGATTTGTCCCTCCTGGAAGTTGCAAGAGGTAAAGATTAATAACAATAGCCGTAATAAAAAAGATTTCCCCCTTAAAACTGAGGAAAACATTTGATTTTCAGGCACTAGCTGGATTCCAGTGCGTGCATTCCTTTGTCAGAAGAATGGTTCTGGTCAAAAGTCATTAGAGGTGGTCTGGTCCAGTGTAGAGCAAACAGCTCTTTGTAAACGGTCCGTTGGTTAAGGAAGTCTGCAAACCATCCTATCATCCCCATCCTAAGCCAGAGAGAGAGTTTTGTCAAGGAGCAACAGCCTGTTCAATAGTCCAACAGCATCAGTCACTTGCACAAATCCCCCTTTGGGGATTTTATCAAGCACAAGCAACAGCAAGACAGTTTCTGTGCTGGGCAGAGGTTCCTAGGCTATTCTGTGTGCTGGGCCCCTCTGCCCCTTTCATAATCCACATGCTGGGGGGGGGGGAAAGGGTGAGTTTTGTCCTGGATTCTCCCATCTCTGTCCTTTCCTCGTCCTGCTCTTGTGCTTGTGTCACGGGCTAATCCTGCTGAAAAAGCCCCTTAGAAAGGCGCATCATACTGGTCCAAGAAGTCTTTGATGGGAGTGGGAAGTTGGGTCCTTTTCTCATAGGAATCCAAGTGCCCATTGACAGTCTTGCGACACAAATGTTGCAGGGTGGAGACACTGGAGGAGAGGGGGCGGCTCAGCACCAGCGGGATCTTCTCTCCACCTGAGTAGATATAGTAGGCACGTTTAGGGTGTGATGCCTGCCCTGGTTGTTGCTCAGGGAGGGGCATGTAGTGATGAACAAGTTTGAGAACGCAGTCAAAGCGGGGCACAGGCTGGCTGCTGTGCGGATCACTCTGGAGTGAGAAGCTACCTCCTTCACACTGGATCCGCAAGTTTTTGGTGCCTGACTCAGTCTTGACGCTCAGAGTGAAGAAATGGCGCTGGTCTGAGCTGTCACGGATGAGGAAGGTGCCGATGGGTTCAGCGCTCAGGAGCAGGTTGGCCTGACCACCTGTCACCGTGCTCCAGTAGAAGCCACTCTCCTGCAGCTTGCGCACAGCATTCACCACCAGCTGATATTCACTCTTGGAACTGAACGTCTTGAGGCGCAGGCTGGTGTCCAGCGGGTGGCTCATCCCGGCACTGGGGAACTTGCTGTGGGTGACCATGGCGCAGGGAGCCAGCTTTGCAAGTAATCTGGGCTGCTGCCAAGCGCAGCGGCTGCTAGGATGGGTACCTATGAATGGAGGGGAGAAAATGTTTAAGACAAAGAGCATCTCGATAGCCTTTTCACCCTCCTGGCCCAATTCACTGCATCTTCCCCGCCATTCATGACTGGAACTCCGACAGTATCCCCAAGATATTTCCCCAGTTTGGTCGCTGCCTCTTGGGCCAAATGCTACCTCGCGAGGGTCTCCCTCCCAGGGATGGATCCCCAGGAATAACTACTTTGCCTCCCCTCCGGCCGCACGCAACCCATCCCCCTCGCTGGCTCCGGACTCCCCACTTGGCTTTGCTTTCTCTCGCGGTGCGCTCCAGGCGCCCCGGGAGGACCCCCTGCCCGTAGCAGCCCGGGACCTGGTCGGTCGGCTATTTCGCAGAGATCGGAGCAGAGTCGGGCGTTACCTGGGGGGCGAGAAAAGAATCGCGGGGGCAATCCAAGCTGCTGGCAGAGCGCGGCTGCTGGCGAGACGGAACGAAGAGCGGTCCGCTTCAGCGCGCTTAGCTTGTCCTACTTTACAAAGCTGCCAGAGCGCCTCTCGGAGGCTTTTATAGAGCATCCGCTGGCCCCGCCTCGTGGTTCCTGGAACTCGGTTCTGCCGGGAGGGCGAGAGCGTCCCAGGCAGCCAGCCAGCCAGGCAGCGGCCAGCCCATTCCGGGCAGCGAGGCCTCCTTCCCCCTCCCCCCGCTCCCTCCCTGTCCTGGCCGCTTCTCGGCCCGCCACTTGCTCCAAGGAACCAGCGGGAAGGCTGGAGTCACGTCGCTCCCTTGGCGAGAAGACCTGCGGCCCGCGGGCGGCGGCGGCGGCGGCGGCCGCCTTTTCCCTCTAAGAGGCGATCTTTGGGGACATGTGAGCGGAGGACTTCCACGCGCGGTGCAACGCCCGGGACCGCGAAGCGGCGAGCTCTTTTTCATGCCTCTTCGCGGAAAAAAGAGCGTGGGAAAGAGCGCCCGAAAGACCTGGCGGCCAAGGACGTGAAACAAACACGCGTGTCGTATCAAGTTCCGTCATTCCTAATGTGGTTTTTATGGCTCTTCCAGTCACTCTTTGCATTTCTTCGAAAACAGCCATCTTTCCAAAGCGCTCGAGTCCCCTTCCCTTCCACCTCCGCTAGTTCCTCTTTCATATTCTGTGGTACCGATGGGTAAGATGAGAACCCGCGTGGGTGACCTACGCTAGAGGGCGCCCTTCCTGGGACGTAACAGACGTTTACTAGCATGGGTAACAAGCCAAGGGTTTCTCAGGTCACCCGAGTGGCACAATTCAACATTTCCTTTTGAGAAGTTCATGTTTGGCAAATAATCCCATTCCTGGGGGTCTTATAAATAGGGTTTTGCGATGAAGGGATTACAAAGATTTTGCCAGAACAGAAGTCTAAATTGGCATATTTGCATACGTACTGGCTAGTGGCTACTTAGAATGTCAGCAGCCCCATATATTATGTACAGGACTGCTGATGATCCCAGGAGCTACCATAGCAGGCGGGGAAGTAGGATTTGTTATGAGCTATTTGGGGCCTCTATGCATCGAAAGGGCAGGAGGAAGTCAACCTTTGTGGGATAAACCTGTAAATGCAACAAGAACTGCTTCCACGATTCACTGTGCTTTGCTAATGAAATTTTACCTAGCTCCACATGACTTCTTCCAAACCTTTCTTTTGTTCTATTGCTATTTTTAAAATAATCAAACCAAAATGGAATTAGCTGTCCAATATCCTTTGTTTGGTAGCAGTAAGGAGCCATCTACCTGGAAGGGCCCCTTGTAACTCATGAGTCTTGTGCACATTTCCCACAGCTTTTTCTTCTACCTGGAAGAAAACCTCTCCCTATTAACTCAACCCAGGTACCTACAAAGCAACCACAGAAATGTGTCAGCATTTATCAAAAGAGCTAAAACATGCATGAAGCAGCCTGGGAAACCCTCCGGTTGCATTGATGTCAGTCAAAAGGCATTTCCCAATCTCTGAGGAGATAAATGACAGAAATCTAAATATAAATGTGGAAAAGCATTTGCTTTGCAGGGGTCCCTTCCTCTCTCCAATGTCAGCATTTCGTGGGGTTTGGTTGGATGCCCTCGGACTAGGAAAAGGTTTGGCGTTTGATTGTCCGGTGCATTCTTAGTTGTTATTATTTCTCTCCCCCCCCCCCAAGGATTACGTTCATTCTATCCTTACTTGCCCTTTCCAGAGGAGCTGCAGGGAAAAACACTGGGAACCAGAAAAGCAAGAACCCCTCCCCCTTCTTTGCTTTAATTTGGTGCCTTGGGGCTCAGGGAAACAGGTCAGGTTACTGAGTGAACCAATGACTGGAGGTGCCGCAACTACAATTCTTAAGGGAAGGAATCTGTTTTGCAAGAAAACAGGAGATTGAGGAAGCCTTCCGAATAAAATTATGGGCTCCCATTGTGGCTCAACCCCTGACATTTTTTCCCCCTACTATGTGAGAAATGTGAAGTGCAGGCTGGCACAGCTCCGTAATATGGAGCAAATAGAAAGCCTTTTGTATAGTGATTGTGTAAGGCATACTTTATGCAACCCATTGTGTACTTTGCAGTTCGAGTGACATTTCCCACAATAAGCCTGTATCATGTGAGAGGCATAGACAGCACTAAATGCTCAGAAGGGATGAGTGCGCTATGAATACTGGTTGACTGAATTTTTTTTTCAGAACATTCTTGTGTGTGTGTGTGTACGTGAGTGTTTATGCACTTGCATCATGGATGTTGCTGCAGAAAATAATGACTCTTACATGAAAGATGAAACAGCAACATTTAAAGCTTTATTTAAAGAATCCATAACCCAATAAAATGACAGTATGAGATGTATGAGATCCAGATTTTCCCAATAGCATTCAGAGTAATTAAAAATGGTGCCGAAGAAGTGATTGAGATCTTTTCTGAGCAGAAGACAATCTCTCTCTCTCTCTCTCTCTCAATTGAAGCAGCCTATTTTTTTTTTCAGGGTGTTATAGGAACCTGAAAAAAGATGTTGCTGTTTTAAGCAATTGCCTCATTAAACTTAACACAACTCTTAAAAGAACCACAACTTTCTCTCCCAGGCTTTAAAAGACAAACCCCATTAATAAATAACAGAGAAATGTTAATGCTTGCAAGTGGTCCGAAGCTCTTCTTCCAAATAATTTTTGAAGAGTACACACCTCTGCTAAGGCAGTAAAAACTGTGCATAAGCGTGGTTGCGTGAGTTTGCATTGCCTATTAGTGTTAATTGAAATAGTAACAAATAGTTACTATAGAATACACGGTGCACCCTGTGTGAATATACTCAGACTCTTATTTCCATTATCATTTCTCTGTGCTCTAACTTTTCAGTGTGTTACAGCAGCTTTGGAGAGTTCAAACAGTATTTGTTTGAAAAGTAAATCGAACAAGCCATTAAGGTACTAACTTGAATCAGTTTCCACACTATACTGTATTGTCATTTCAGGAACAAAATGACTTGGCTATATATAAAAAACTTCCTTGCTGGCTGCATTCAAGGCAGTGCTTACATGTTCGTCATTATATGCTCCATAATAGCAATAGGTTGTGAACTTATTTGGTGTAGTGGTTAAAGTATATATACAGTAGGCAACTACTGTATGAGTTCTAGTCTTGCCTTAGGCACAAGAAGCAGCTGGGTATCTTGGAGCCAGTCACTGTCTCAGCCAACCCACCTTACAGGGTTTTGTGGGGGGGGGGGAGAGGAGGAGGGAGTATTAGGTATATTTGCAGCCCTCGAGTTACTGATAAAAATAATAAAGGTGGGATAAAAATCTAATAACCACAAAAGTCTTTACTAGAAATGGATCAAATAAAGAGCTAAAAGTACGTAAATGTATACATATTAAATGATTATAGTAATAGTTCTGTTTCTTATGCAAAATATTTGGCAGAAAATAAAGTGGCCCGTCTTCCCTATTTCTCAGTGCTCAATGCTGATTGCCCAAATGAGATCAATCTGCATTATTGTATGTTAGAGCTGAGCTCTTGGCAGGTCTTCCTATCATGCCTGAATGTTCCAGCCTCAGAACTCCACTGTTGGTCTCCTTTGTCTCTTTTCCCAGTGAGAGAGGATCACAGATATGGTAAGTTTGAACTTGGGAATAAGCAGTGTCTGTTGTATATGCTGCAAATACAGGGAGGGAGGGAGTTTTCCTTGCCCTACAGCAGCTGCCCATGAGCAGCCAGGAATAAACACCAGCAAGCAGTTCTGGGAAGTGAAGCTGCAAGAGCAGCTGCTCCAAAATGCAAACAATAAGATGCTGCCCGGAGTCTTTTCCTGGAGGAGAAGCAGAGGGCAGAAACCATACCAGGTGCTATTAAAGAAAGGAATGAAAGAAATCTGGTGTTTGTTTTAAATAAATGAGCCAGAGCTGGAGATGTACAGGAAGGCTGGAACCTTAATCCAAGATGGTTGCTACTAGGAGTTGATAGTACTAAAGCAGGCATATTAAATCTGGGTTACAAAAATCTAGACTACCAATGACAAAGAGATTGGGTTTTTCACATAACTCTTTGCTGCTATCTAATGGTCATCTAGATTTCTGCAGCCTAGCTCTGGTATCCTGTCTGTGGCAGATGATGTCTGAATTGCATCCCATCAGGACATTTACTGTGCAGGCTTCCAGAGTTGCTGTATGAATTCAGAAAATTAAACATCACTGTTTTAAGACCTCTGGTATAAGACAGCGTACTATATGAATTGCATCTTCTATTTTTTTAGATTAAAAGGCCAGTGCATGGAGGTGGGATAGGTGAGAAGCTGATCTTCCTCTCCGGTTCTATTTTATTTATTTTCCTGAAACTTCCACTGAAGAAACAAACCCATAGTATGATCCTGCTACCTATATCAACGGTCTGCTGTTACATGAAATGGGATGGAGTTTTGCTTAGGAAATTGAGCACAGCTGAAGTGATTTAAATGCATGAACTGCTGTCATTGCTGATCTCATTAACACTAATTTTCTCCCCAGATTGAGCTGCTTTAAAATTAAAAGTAATATAATGAAAACATATTTTTAAAGTCAGAAAATTCCGGTACAAATTATTCATATCACACCTACTTTAGCTTTTGCACATCAAATTGTGTATAGGAAATGAAGTGTTTTGTGAAGCATGCCTTCTTTTAGATATATCTGAAGAGCAGGGATTAGTGTGCCTACTACTACTTAGACAACTAACTAACTAACTAACTAACAACAGGTGCTTCCCATCACCAGTATTTCTGTCTTGAAAATAAGTCTGAAAACTCACCCGTGATTGTTTTTACTTCTGCCAAACCAGCCTTAAAATGCAGAGAACGCACGAAGAACACCATAAACCAATAATTACACCCTTTCCTCCATGCTGATCAATAGGCAAATACAGCTATTCTGCCCCCCCCCCCGGTTATTAGTAATCAGATGTTCTCAGCCCCCATTCCACAAGAGGAGATCCTATCACACAGGCTTTTTAATACATGCATTTGCAAAATGGGATGCTGGGTTACAGAAGATTATATACAAAATAAACATAACCATCACAATCCTTCAACTCCTTCCCACTCATCTGGTCACAATTCCTTCGTTGAATTTAAACACCCCTGAGTTGTGAAGAAGAAATTTTACATGTTGACTGTTTTGCAAAAACATATAGTATATTTCCCAAAGGTTTGATCCTGGTTGTATGTTGCTATGGTAGCTGGATGATTGTGGTGGGAGATAACTTACAGATAATAATACAGGAAGAGATAATTTGCAAATGTAGGAATAATAACTCCTCTGAGTCTTAAGCCAGGAGATAGAGTGAGGCAAGAGTTCCTAATAATGGGGAAAAAAGTATCATCTAGGTCAGCGGTTCTCAACCTTTGTGTGACGGCGACCCCCGTCACACGGATACCCCCCCATGCGCGGCGCCCCCCCATGCGCGGCACCTCCCCCATGCGTGACGCGGCGCCGCCCCCTGAGGGGGAAAAATGATGGATCGCGTTGTTTGGCAACCCCCGTAAAATGGTCGTTCGACCCCAAATGGGGTCACGACCCATAGGTTGAGAACCGCTGATGTAGGTCTACATTGCCACAGCAATTGAAAGAAAGAAGCCAGCTTTGCAGTGGTTGCAACTACACTATATCAGAATTGGGAGATACATCCGATAATAGCCTACCTTGAAATGGTGCAAAACATTGACACAGAGATGCTCAAAATGTCAGTTTCATGTACACATTTTACATTTTTCCTAATTCTTCCTATAAATGTTCCTGAACGAGTTTCTGCCATCACAGATATTCATTTTTAATCTACCACAAGGAATTCAATGGAAGATGTGGCATAAAGAATTGCCTTCACTTAAATTTAGAGGCAAGTCAGTCTATCCAAATACCTAACTAGGTATTAATCCTCATATTACCTTCTATCATTATTTTCATTAGGATGCCACATCTTCAGGAAGTAAGTCTCTCCCACCCTTCCCTTGACCAATGGCAGAAGATATAAAAAAAAAATCAATCCAGTCCCATTGTCGGATCTCTAGTTTAGGTTATAATCATCCATTTTTGCCATTTTTCAAGAGCTATTTCTTTTTAGCCATCTTTGCTCTTAAATTTATTTATAAGTTAGATTGGGAAGGCAGATCATTATGATAAGACACTTCTCTATTGTCATAATCATGAAGTCAAATAGGAATGAAGTTCAATTCAGGGGAGACTTTATCTTTTCTGCTGCTTTCAATTTAGGGAATGTGTTGTTCAGTGCTTTTTTTGTAAGAAAAAAGGTGCCGTAACTCATATCTTGTTAATCTTTTATTTTAAAAAATTATATATTCAGTTCTTAGCAGGACCGGTGGTTGAGAAGTAATTAGTAATTTTTTTTATTTTTAAATTTGGGGTCACACTTTTACACTAAAAATTTTTAAAAAAGATTTTCAATTCACCAACAATTTTTTAAAATAAAGAAATTATTTACCTTTTGCACGTAGTCAATCACTACACACACCCTCACGTCAGTTGTGTAATGAATCATAATGGTCGCTGCCCACAGTAAGCACTGAACGCGTGACCACACAACCAATCACAAGCCAAGCAGTGCCACAAGCCGAGCAGCGCCATCACAACCAGCACGGACGAAGTATGCATGCATCGGACTCGACACACAAGCAGCCCGCATGCACCGTTTTAATGATTTTGCCACTGACCTGCTACACTTGACAGGGCGATTCAAGTCCATGTGGACCAAACATCAAATTTTCAAAAGTTACTTTTAAAACTTGGAAAAATTCATTGAAAAAAGGTGCCGGAACGCTGTTCCGGTGCATTTTATGACAAAAAAAGCACTGGTAGATTAACAGTAGTCAATTCAATTGTACTATATACTCCATGCTAAGTCCTTAATGTATGACCTTTTCACATTCCTTTTACTCTAAAAATTCTCCTTTCTCATTCAGATGATAGAAGTGATGATGGTAGAGAGGAAAACCAAGGGAAGAATGGGGGTGAGGGAAACACTGTTTTGCTAATATGCCCTTTTTGCTACTTACCATAGCACAAGTTACACTGGATTCCTTACAAGTTACACTGGATTCCTTATTTTGAAACCATTTGCGGAAGGCATACTAATACCATATTTTCAAACAGGAGTTAGATATTTTATGATATTGAGTACTAACCAGCAATTATAATAGCACAAATACTGCAAGGAAGACAATTACAGATATAATATACAAATAAAAAGATTCAGGATTCAGCCAGCCCTTTGGAAATCCAGAGTGGAATTTTCCTTAAGTATCGTCCTGCTTTACAACTATCTTAGATGTATCTACATTCAGACAAAAAACTTCCAAAAGTGACACTATTTTTTTTTAAATAGTCAAACATCATTATCATTTGGATACACTTA